CGACTTTTCTTAGCTTAGGTCTGTCCTGTAATTCATTTTTCTTATCGCTTAACTATCTGCTGAAATCTGGAGTCATCTCATTTTTTTTTCTCCTTCTGTAAATTGAAAAGCATTGGAAAAATTATAAATTGCCGTTTAAAAACAAAACAAAACAAAAATTGGTGGTTTCATAGATATTTGTCTGTTTGATTTTGTTGTCCCTCTGATTTAAAAGAATACTTTCACTCCGGTGGAAACAAACCAAATGTCTCTCAATAGAGAACTAGCTGAATAAACTCTGGCAGTCAACACAATGAGTACTGCATGCAGAATATATGACTGTAGAATAATCCAGGATATATAGTTACATGGAAAGAGAAAAGTAGAGAAAGTGTATTGTGTGTTACCATTTATTTATTTAAGTAAAGATGGAGAGAGAGAGAGAGAGAGAGAGAGAGATTTGCTTATATTTTTTAAAATAGAAGGATTAAACCATAAAATATTTTTAAGATTTGTTACACATATAAGTAGGAGGAGCTCTGGTGGTGCCATGGTTAAAGTATTTGGCTACTAAACAAAAGACCGCCAATTCACACCAAGTAGCACCCACCAGCCACTCTGTGGGAGAAAGATGAGGCAGTCTGTTTCCATGAAGATTTACAGCTTTGGAAACCCTATAGGGCAGTTCTACTCTGTCCTATAACTTGCTATGAGGCAGAAATGACTTGATAGCAGTGGATTTGGTTTTGGTTTCATGTAAGTAGGATTCCCATGTGTTCTGATGAGGAATAAGAAGCAGTACAGAGAAACAAGGACAAAAGCTAGACTTCTACAAATATATCTTGTTCTGTGTATTTGATTTTTGGTATTTTTGATTCATCTAAAATTATAAAAACTTTATGTCAGTTGGGAAAGGAATAATTATAAAATAAAATGAATAAAAAAGTCTCTACAAAGAAAAAGCAAAAGGAAACAAATGATCTTGTCTATAGAGGTGGTGGCATTACCACAAAGAGGAATTATTTCATGTGACTTTAAAACAATAATTTCTCTGAATATTCTTAGTACAATATTTTTAGTACAGCAAAAGCACAAAAGAATCTTAAACTGTTTTTTAGTAGTCTTACTGTTTGTACTGGTATTAGTTTCCTAAAATCATCATACATATTAGATTAAAGCAGGGGTCTCCAAACTATAACCCATAAAAAAAAAAAGAGAGAGAGAAATCAGCGATAATGATGCATTCTGGCTATTGTAGCAGAACTTTGGGGTGACCTCAGCAAGTAATGGCTTTCTCCTTTTAGAGCCAGTGGATTCTGGTGACTTCTAATATACAAAAGCTCTTTGCTTGGTACAAATTAGGTGGAGGAGCTGGACATTATTAACAATGTATGCCTTGTCTTTGAATCTGTCATTTTCCTCCTTTTTTCACTCTGATCCAAGTCTAAAATGTAGCTGTCTTATTTGCTTGTGCATGGCAAATTCCACAGCAGAATATGGATAATTTTTGGGGAAATATCTCACGCTTTGGAGGCCATCTCATAGGTATTAAGAAACTATTATACAAAGACAATAGACTGCTTCTGGGGGGAAATAAGAAAAGACAGTACATATGCTCTTCCTCTCCATAACTGGGATATTTTCTGCTGAAATACCATTGAAAGTCATTTATATAAGTTAGTATTACTTTCACAAGGGTTTGGTTTATTTATTTATCTGATGCACTGGGTTACTTAAATCAGATTTTATATTATTCACATGCTCCTCTCTTTTGAGATGTTTGAAATGTTTTGAAAACATTCATATCCTTCACATCTCTCCTGTCATACTACTTTCTCTGAGAAGCCTTTCCTTAACTTATTCCCAAATCAGAATTACTGCTTTTTCTTATGGTAACAACACTGCTTTACAAATGTTGATATGGCTTGCTGTGATTTGTTTTCTCATTTTTTGTCCTCTTAAATACCCAATACTGTTGCTTCCTCCAATCCGTTGCCTACACTGCCCATAGAAGTTTTTTTTTTATTTTCCTTTGTTTTGTTTTTTAGGAAAGGTAAATATAGGGAGACAAACGTCTGTGTTTGCCCAGGGCTTCACTGGTTGTTGCCAGGAATCCCTCAGCTTGGTCACCTTAAATTGGAGCTATGGCCCTGTTTAAAGTAGGGTGTGGAACCTGATTATTCCAGTTGTAACCCTGCTGAAAATTTGCATTTCCACCCCATTATATTGAACCAGAAGCTACATTTTAAGAGATCTTTAGGTGATTCTTGCAGATCTTATAGATCTTGTTAAAATGTAGCTTCTGATTCAATATATCTGGGGTGGAAATGCAAATTCTCAGAGCAGGTAGAATGAGAATGAACTGGTCCAAAGCCCTGGTTTGAAGTATTGCAATGCCCATCCCCATGCTCAGATAAAGTCCAAATTTCATAGCAACCTTTATATGATTACTGCCTAAAACTTCAGCAGCATCTTTCATAATTCCCACCATCACTACAGTCCATATTTA